AGAGCGAGACTCTGTCTCAAAAAAAAAAAAAAAATCTCATGGCTGGCCCAGCTCTGGATCAGGACTCATCAGGTCCCAGGCAGGGCTGTCAGTCCCCTCTCATTAAGAATCTTCAAGGCTGAGGCAGGCGGATCACCCAGGGTAAGGAGTTCAAGACCAGCCTGGACAACATGGTGAAACCCTGTCTCTACTAAGAATACAATAATAATAATAATTAGCTGGGCATGGTGGCGGGCGCCTGTAATCCCAGTTACTCAGGAGGCTGAGGTGGGTGGATCACGAGGTCAGGAGATCAAGACCATCGTGGCTAACATGGTGAAACCCTGTCTCTACTGAAAATACGAAAAATTAGCCGGGCATGGTGGCGGGTGCCTGTAGTCCCAACTCGAGAGGTTGAAGCAGGAGAATAGTGTGAACCTGGGAGGCGGAGCTTGCCGTGAGCCAAGATAGTGCCACTGCACTCTCAGGCTAGAGTGCAGTGGCACGATCTCGGCTCACGGCAACCTCCGCCTCCCGGGTTCAAGCAGTTCTCCTGACTCAGCCTCCCGAGTAGCTGGGACTACAGACTTGCACCACCATGCCTGGCTAATTTTTGTATTTTTAGTAGAGATGGGATTTCACCATGTCGGTCAGGCTAGTCTCAAACTCCTAACCTCAAATGATCCACCCACCTTGGCCTTTTAAAGTGCTGGGATTACAGGCGTGAACCACCACACCTGGTCCTCTATCCACCTTTCTGAGGTCAAGCAGGGATCCCAGGGGTTGGTGTGGGATTAGGAGAAACCAGATCCACAAGGCACTTTTTATATGCGGTCCCTTTCTCTGCATCCTGGGCCTGTTTCCCCATCTGTGCTTGTGGGAAGCAGACGGTCCCTCCTCTGGGCTGCTCTGAATATGAACCCCACTGCTGGATGTGAGTCCCCCCAGTTGCTCTTGAGGGAGAGAACCAATATGAGCTGGACTGGATCTGAGGCTAGGGTGCTATTTGTGGGGGTTACTGCCAGGCCTGGCAAGGCCCATGGGTCCCGTGAAGCTGGATGGGGAACTGGGGTGGAACCTGCTCCCCTGGGGCAGTCGTGGCAGTTGAAGCATGGGCTGTGGTCAGACCTGCCTGGCGTCCAGGCTCGCTGTGCTGGTGACCTCTGGAGAACTGCTTTACATCTTGGAGGTCCCCTCACCTCCCGTGAAGGAGGGGATAACAGGACTGAGCCCATCAGGCCCTGAGGAGGATGAGGGCCCTTGTGGCCCATCCCTGGCAGTTCTGTTTTCTCTGGGATGGGCTGGCCGCAGGAGGTCCCTGCCTGCAACTGGGCCACGTTTCAAGGCTGTAGGGAGGAGGGGGGCACTTGTCTGCCCGGAGCATTCAGGCGGAGGATTGGGGAGCCCCAGCTCGGGCTGGCTCAATCTGCCCATCCACCGTGGAGGGGCTGGTGAAGCTGGGTGGATTCTGGGAGGAGGCGGCCTAATGGCCTGCTCGGCCTCACTCAGGAGGGTGAGTGAGGCCCCTAGGCTCCCAACAGGGACGATGGGCTGGGATCAAACCTCTGTCCCTGCCACCTACCTGGCCCTCGGTTCTGGGCCCAGCCCCTGCCCAGGCTCCTCATGCATAGAAGCCAATGTCAGGGGCCAGGCGGCTGGGGGAGATGGCAGAGATGGAAAAGCTGACCGGAGGGGTGAGGCTGGGCAGCGGGGGCGGTAGCCAGGCAGCCAGGTGTGCAGAACGAGCCCAGGCCCGAGCTGCCAGCAGGAGGGGGTCGAGAGTGGCAAGGAGGAGGCGTTGGCAGCCAGGGAGGGAAGCAGAGCGGCTGCCAAGGGGGATTAGGCCCAGGAGCCCCGGGCCCCACAGGAGAATAGAGCCATTGATGGGAACCCAGAGCTGGGGCCCTGGTGCCAGGGCCTGTAGGGGGCGTCGCTGAGCTGGCCCGCTCAGCTGAGCAAGCCGGAAGCAGCTGCAGAACCAAGGTCTCAGGCCTGTTCTTGTGTCCACCATGTGGATGAGTCTCCATCTGCCGGCCGGTGCCCAGCTAGGGCCAACATGGCTGATGGGTGCCCAGCAGGTGCTCTGCAGGAGCCAGTACTGGTCAGGCTTGAGGAAGTGGCTAAGGGAGGCCTGGCAGGGAGTGGGGAAGGAAGTGAGAGGCCCCCCAACTTTGGAGCAGCAAACCCGAGTTCAAATCCAACTCTGCCACTCAGCAGCCAGAGGCACCATGGGCAAAGAAGGGGGGCTACTGGGAGCCACCTGGGGGGCATTATGAGGACTGAGGGAGAGACCACCCAGTGGGGTGCCCGCCCAAGCAAGGGCTTAGCAGCAATGGGGTCTGAGCAGCCTCCCTCCCCTCTGTCTCGCAGGCCTGACCGCCGCTGCCTACAGAGTCATACTCAATCCTCCGGGCACCTTCCTTGAAGGAGTGGCTAAGGTCGGACAATACACGTTCACTGCAGGTGAGCAAGCTGGTCTAGGCATGGCTGGGCCCTCTCCTGGCACAGCCGCAGCTCTCGGAGCACATTTCACAGCTGCCTCTTCTCCCTCACTCCCCAGCCTGTGTCCCCAGTGCCGGCCACCAGGAGAAAGTCGGGTGTTCCTTTATCGGGAACACATGTAGGGTAGGGAGGCCCAGGACACCAACTCCAGGACTGGGGCCGGAAGGCTGCCATGCACAGCAAGTGGCTGAGCCATGGCGTCTGTCTCCATCTAGACGCTGGCAGTGAGCGCCCAAGAGGCTCCTGCTGCGCCCCTCTCAGGCCCTTGCTCAGCGCCAACTCTTCCCATCTACCCCGCAGCTGCTGTCGGGGCCGTGTTTGGCCTCACCTCCTGCATCAGCGCCCAGGTCCGCGAGAAGCCCGACGACCCCCTGAACTATTTCCTCGGTGGCTGCGCCGGAGGCCTGACTCTGGGGGCACGCAGTGAGTGGACCGCTCCCCACCCCCACCTTCCTCCCAGCCTGGCAGAATGACCCCTGACCTCTGCTCATCCTCCACCCTCTCTGTTCCATCCCAGACAAGGAGCAAAGCAGCCTTCTTGAACACCAGCCATTTTAGTCATAGCGACAGTTGCTGCTGCTGCTTAAGCACTTACTGTGTACCACCACGCTAAGCCTTCAGCTCAGCCCATAGGGCCCTCCCTGACCTGCCCTGTCCCCTCTCCACCCTCCCCTCCTCACTCTGCTCCAGCCACACGGGCCTCCTTGCTGTTCCTCCCACATGCCAGGCACAGTCCTGCCCCAGGGCCTTTGCATGGCAATGCACTGCCTGGAATGCTGTTCCCCTCACTGTCCTGACCAACCTGTGTACAAGCCAGCATCCCCGCCACCCTCACTCTGTGTCCCCTTCCTTCTGCATGCCTTGTCAGAGGACACAGGTCACCAAGGTCACCACCTGTCTCTGCCACTGGCCTGTGAGTCAGAGAGGAGATGTTGGTCCTCGCCCTGCCAGCTCTCTCCCTGCACCTGGAGCCCTGCAGGGGAGCTGCCCCCGCAACCTTCACTTTACAGAAAAGGGCATTAGGGCTCAGGGAGGGAATGAATTGGCCCAAAGTCACCTGGAGGAGCAAGTGGCCTTCTTTGCAGCCATCAGAGGGTGCAGCCCTGGTGGAGGAGGCCCCGCTTGGCACAGGGGAACCCGCTTGGAGCATGAGCCAGACACCACTCCTCCTGCTCTCCCACGGGCCCAGGCTCAGGGTCAGTGCCCGCCTGTGCCCCTGGCCTACCCTCAGCCCGCCAAGACTCGGGCCCTCAGGGCCAGCGGGAGGAGTGAATGAGCCTTCTTGAACTCAGCCGCTCTGGCCTGGCATGTTGGGAGTGATGGATGGCAGGTTCCGGGCAGGCAGAGAGGGAGGGTGCGAGGGCAGGGCCTATTCTGTCTCTGCGTCAAGACCTTGGGGAGGCCCTGTCCCTCCCCAGCTCCCACTGGAACTGGTCAGAGGTTGGAGGTGGGTTGAGGTCTTGACTGTAGCCTAGCTTGGGCTGGAACTGCTCCCCGTCCCCAAGCCAGCCTCCCTGTCTCTCTTCAAAGAGTGTGAGTCCCTGTAGGTCCTGGTGTGTGGGACACACCTCCTTCCTCCTCTGGCCCAGGGGCTTTGGAGCAGGAGAGCCCGGGGAAGTGGGGGCACCGTCTAGGCTCCTCGGTACACCGACCACGGGACAGATGCATGGCCTAGCCCTGGCATCCATGAGCAGAGGAGAGACTGAGACACACTGATGTGTCACCACTGCCCAGTGCCCAGCCTTGCCGCAGCCCCAGGCGAGGGCAGCACAGTGTCCCTCTCATAGGAGGCAATCAGTGTGGGGCGGGATGAGGACCCACAGCCTGGGTTCCTGCTGGGAAGCGACCTGGACTCCAGCCTCCCTGTGTGCGTCAGTTTCCACATCTCCAGAGTCTAGGGCCCTCCTCCTGAGTGACTTAATCCCTGAAGAGAGTGTCCTGTCAGGGGTCTCACTCTGGCTCCCAGGGTAGGCACTGGCCAGGGCGTGGAGCATCTTGGTCCGGCCAAGCCGCACCCGGCCCTGACATCACCTCCCCACTCCCACAGCGCACAGCTACGGGATCGGCGCCAGCGCCTGCGTGTACTTGGGCATAGCGGCCTCCCTGGTCAAGATGGGCCGGCTGGAGGGCTGGGAAATGTTTGCAAAACCCAAGGTGTGAGCCCTGTGCCAGCCGGGACCTCCAGCCCGCAGAATGCGTCCAAAAATAAATTCTGTGTCTATGTGTGTGTCAGTGTCCGGAGGGCTTGGTGATGGCGACACAGCGGCCAGCGAGGGCGGATCTGGGAGGGAGTGAGGAAGGGAGATAAGATAAGGCCCCCCGCACACGCGCCTGCCTGCCGCCCGCCGTCCCTGCCAAGTGTACCAGCCTTGCCCCACAGAAGTGGTAGTGCATCAGGCTAGGGCCATCGGGAGCCAGGAGGGGAGATGGCTGGGATGCGTCCCAGCCTCTGCTTCCCCCAGTTCCCAGGGCAGGGCGGGAGCGTGCCAGTGACCTGCCAGCAAGTGGAAGCTGGGCCCCGCCGCCCACGGCCCTTCCCTCAGCGCTGTCGGCTCTGGTCACAACCCCCCTGCAGATCTTGAGCTATCCCTTCTCTGGGCCTGTCCCCAAAGCCAACAACATGTGGAAAACACGCCCAGGCCCCGTCTCCAAATTCCTGGGCACTGGAGCGGAGAGCCCTGGACAGGCTGGCCCAGCAGCCGTCCCCATCCGGCAGGTCACTCGGAGCCCCTGGGACTGAGACAGAGTGGGACAGGACGCCCCTCAGCACCTGGCTGGTGGCAGCGACAAGGGAAAGAATTGCAATCCCTTCCCGCCACCTGTCAGGCCGGTGATTTAGGTGGCCCTGGAATGCTGGCACCATCCCGGGCCCCTTTTCCAGAACTGGCTCGTGCTCCCTGGCAACTGGAGAGGAAGCCTGCGAGCTCCGACATGCTGCAGTGGACTGTAAATTAGGGCGCTCCAGGCTCCACCCAGGAGAGCGGAGCTGTGCGCAGCCCCCGCTGGGATGGATCTGGGTCCTGCTGGCAGGCCGGGGACAGCAGGAGCCAGCGGGACTGGCTGTAGCCCTCCTGCCCGCTCCTCACCCATGTACAGCCCCATCTCCTCCCTTTTCTCAAGCCCACCCATGGGGCCTAGATGTGGTGAAAAGCCAGACTTTCAGCCTCATATCCTTATCTGTCCGCCTCCAGGTAGTAACTCAGCCTGGAACTCCTGGATCCAAGCAATCCTCCCCGCTCAGCCTCCCAAGTAGCTGGGACTACGGCCACCACCACTATGCCCAGTTAATTTTTTAAAA